ATATCTTGGCATAAATAAGGGGCGATAAGGACATCAAGAAAGGCAATGGTTGGTAAGATACCAAAGAACACAAAACGGTAGGAATTTTTCTTATCGCCCCTGAAATAAAGTCTGTAACGTAACTTTTTGTTTAAAACATAGACACCAATGGGGTAGCGTGGTGTATTCTGGGATCGTTTTGAGGGTATTTGGAGAGTTTGTCCTGGATTCGATGCGTTTTAAGACTTGCGCGCAAAATGGGCATTTGATTGTATACTGTAAAGTCATATGCATTTTTCACTTCCTTAAATTAATGCCTGTCGGAATATAGCATCCCCTTCTGGAGGTTAGTACTCCTTTAACCTTTCACCAGAGGCCAACACCTTCCTAAAAACATATCTTGTTTTTCTTACACCAGAGGGCTGTGTGCACGCTTCACTGGTGGCCACAGTAAAATATATGTTAAAATCACTAACAATAATATGTTTTACCACAGAGTATTGTCTGGAGACCAGCACCAGATGCTAGTTCCCGTGGGCTGTGTCCATCCTCCTCTGGTGGCCACAGGGTCTGGAAGCGGAGACGATCTCGAGGCCAACACGTTCCTGGAATTCGAGGGGATTTTCCAGGGCATCATCGGCAGGAGGGCGTCCAAGATGGTGGTGACGAAGGACAAGGTGGTGCGGAGGGAGATGGACAGCTTTCTTGCACAGGTAAATACACTTTTAAGTGGGCCTGCATGTGGGGTCCTGCCAACGCTCTACGCTGAATTCGAAAATCTCTCGATTACACTTTATGATAAATTCCAAGTGGCTACAACGCATTAAGTAGAATTAAAGCGGCAAATAGTATATTACGCTCTACGCAAAATGTGCCAATCACACTCTACGTTGAATTAGAGTGGCCCGTCAACACACTTCGTAGAATCAAAACGGCCGATTATGCTCTACGGAAAAGGGCTACTAGTATGTTTGCTTGCTGTAACAATGTTGTGCTGGTGGTTCCCTCTGCAGGCGTGTCACCTGTGGGAGCGGCTGAGAGGTGAGGATGTGGACGAGGCACTGAAGGAGGTGCAGAGGGTTTTCCCGTGCAGGGACTTCAGGGGTGAGTTGGGCTGATTTAGTAGTGATGAAGGCTCTTATTCAAGTTATTGCCTAAGTTCTGGGAATGGGAATGGGAAAGATAGAGATGTATGGCCACAAGCTGTACAAGGCCCAATCAGCCCCTGCTGACAGCGAGAAATTGTGTAAAACAGGTTACATGTAGATACTATTGGATAGTCCTTTACTTTGTAGTATGTATGTTTTACAATTTTCAGACCACATGGTCTTTTGCTACATGCCTAACAGTATGGACTCATTTAACTTATTGATTTTAGAGTTCCACATCTGCCTATTTCCTGCATGTCTAGCTAACTGTTCAAATGATAAGTGTTCACAATCCATAAGCAGAGATCCCTCAGGAGGGTTGTCTCCTCCGCATACTACTTTGTAGTGGATTTATTTTGCAGTCACCGTAAGGAGGGAGCCATCTTTGTATTCAAGTACTAAACTGCCTGAAACAATCATGTTTGAACATTTTCTTCATAATGGTGTGTTCTACTAACTTCTACATTTGTACACTACCCCTCCAGGCAAACTGCATGACCTGGGTAAGGTGGTGGAGTGCTATAAGGATTTCTTACACCAGCATGAAGGGAAGGAGACTACCATTGTGGTGGAGGGGGTGAAGACACTGGTGGGGGAGCTCACCAAAGTCGCTCATGGTGGGAATTTCTTCTTCTTCTTCTTTGCTCATCATCATTTCTGGGATTATTATGTTTACCGAAGGAAAACATATAGTTTTTGCTACATTTCCTCTTCTTCTTCTTGATGGTAACTGGTGTTGGGTTACATGGGTTACATGATATTGCAATTTTATCAGTAGGAAGGATTTATGCTCTTGTCTGACCATATATGTGAATGTGTTTTAGTAAGAATTAACAGAGCAGACCATATGCAAAGGTAAACATTATGCATTTGCTTTGCAAAGTTTGAACTAGTTAGCAGTTGTGTTTTATTTTTTAGTTACTGGTACATATGAATGTAGGGAAAGAAAGGATAATTTGGAAACATATTAAATAACTGATTTTGCATGCAACATACAACTCAACATAACATGTTGTTGCCCTCTTCTACAGAGCTGAGGCATATCATGTTCCTGGGGATTCTGGCCAAGGAAGGTAGGGGCATAATTATTACTTGCTATTTTGTTATTTGGTGGCAGTAGGTAGGCAAAAGTGTTGTAGCTTTGGTTCCCCCTAGCAGCTTGTTGGCTATACTAGGTTTGACTTCTTGTAGCAAATAGCTTCATGTGAGGAGAAAGTGTAGTAGTTTGTTCCTAACAAACCTTACATGTCCCCCAGACCCTACCACCAGCAGCAGGAGGGATGTGGTGTTCTCCCAGGCCCTGTCTGCTGCTGTGTGTGCATTCTCAGAACAACTACTGGCAGCCCTGAACTTCAGCTTCAATAACATGAAGGTGACAGACCAGTTCATCAGTTCATGTGTGTAACGTTCGTTACATGCGTTATTGTTAATTTTTATATTTGAAAATATCAATGGCATTCACGCAATATTGTATTATATCTGCAATGTTAATATGTTGATAAAGAAAGAAAGAAAGAAAGAAGTGTCTCTGATGCTAGAAACTGTGATAAAATTTCTGTCTTTCCTTCCTTCCTTACAGGAGTACAAGATAGACAACAAGCTGGCGAGCATCAAGTGGCTGGAGCAGACAGCCTCCATCGGGGTGCTGGTCATGTTTCAGGCCATGCTGTCTCCTAACTGGGTAGGTTAGCCTGTAGCAGTATGGCTAGGCTAGTAGACATAAGACCAAGAGGTCTTGGTTTTCATCCCTGGCATTCTTGGCATTGTGTCCTTAAAAAAGGCACTTAACATGACTTTCCTCGCTCCACCCATGTGTAAAATGGGTACCTGACTTCGCTTGGGAGGTAAAAGGCGGTGGAAGGAGAGGGATAGGCTCTGCCTTCCGATACTGTGTCCTAGACACAGCAGATCAACAACCCACTGCCCCTATGACCTCAAAAATGCCATGAGATTACCTTTAGGTACATGTACACTGGAGTAGCCACTTCTCAATCAGATATCTATTGGTTATGGCGTTATTCAGCAAGGAGAGGGTCAAATACAGCCGTGCCTGTCCTTGGTGCTGAAATACTTTCATACTAAAATATCTGAATCAGTTTCCCTGTGCCTTGATGAAAAACAACCAAATAAGTAGTAAATACAGAATTTTAGATACAGCTATGCCTGTCCTTGGTGCTGAAGAAGTATTCCTAGTGTTGTGCCTGGCCATGGTTCTGAAATACTTGCATACTGAAATAACCATACATTCAAAACCAGGAGTCTCCCTATGCACCACCTTATCCAATTTGAAACCAGTGTAATACTGCTTAAATCCATGTAATCTGCTTAAATTAAATTGTTTTTGAGACAAGTTTCACACTGTCCAAAGTTACACCACCATCTATATCTCAATTTCTGGGGGAGAGCCTTGAGAAACCTGGAACATATACATGTGAAACGAAAAATTTACCACTGTGACATTGTAACTGTTCGCTTCTATTCATTTTTTCCTTCCAGAATGATGAGAGCATAGCAAGGAGAAATACAACTATGCCTGTCCCTGGTGCTGAAATACTTGTATACTGAAATATATGAATCACTCAACTTTAGTTAAATTTCAGGAGAGAGCTCTGTCTGAAAAAAACTCAAGATGTAGGTAAGACTAGTTGCCATGTTATGACTGTTTTATTATGAATGTGCATTTGATTTGTTTGTTTTTTTCCAGAATGATGAGAAGTCCATCCTGCAGGACTTGGTGGTCGGGGTCAGTGACCTGGACAAGGTGACCTTCATCTTCAGGACTCTGTCTCCACAGGAGTGTCATGAAGGTAACTTCTTTTTGGATAATCAGATAGTCTTGATAATATGGATGACATCCCCGTGCACATAAGGTTTTGTCTGTTTTTAAAAAGAAAAAAGTTTCTTCAGCCTCTTGACGGATAACAGGAGTCAAAAGGAAAAGATGAATTAGATGCCACAGGAAGAAGAGAAAGTATGGCTTGAATTGCCTTTTACTTTCACCTCCAAGAATTTGTTATTCATTTGTTATTATTTTATTTTAGTCATGGTAAAATCTAGTTGTAGAAGTTCCACCTTGTATATTTGCTGGTCGTTCCCTCAGCTGTAGAGCTGACCCACAACGTAGAGGGTACCAGGTCTGGAGTTCAGGTGGTGTTTTACCTGAAGGTGTAATAAAATAACTGATTCCGTGTTTGCCTGTACAAGAGACTCATTTTAATGTATACCTCTGTTGTTCCCTCAGCTGTAGAGCTGACCCACAGTGTTGAGGGCACGCGGTCTGGAGTCCAGGTTGTTTTTTACCTGAAGAAAAACCTGTTCCTGAGGCTGCCCCGCAGACTCCAGGCCGGCAGCAGCATCAAGATGTGCCCCGTGCTTTTCAACCAGGGTGGGTGGGCTTGTCATTACTGTAAATGCAAAAACTTTTTGTGTTGAATTTTGTGTTTGAAACAATTTTGTTGTAGAACACATGCATATTCACAGTGTTTTGAAGTCGTCTTTGCTGTTAAAACAATTCTGTTATGAGTAGTATAATACACAGGAAGCACATGTATATTATTCACAGTTTGATTAATTTGCGGTGTACAGATCACTGCCAAAACTGCAAAACTAAGACCACTGCATTCATGACTTACAAGATGCAGGGACGTAAACGATCAGTAATGCCTATCACTCTGATTTGCACTCGAGGGTTCAAAGAAGACCACTGTTTTTCTTAATGATCACTCTCTGTGAAAATAACAAACAGTGGTGAATGATTTTATCTTTTGCGAGTCAAATAAGACGAACCTCTAAGCTGATTCAGTTCTGTGCGAGTTCTGTTCTGCAGATTAATGAAAATAATAATAAAAAATAAATCTGTGGTTTGTTTTTATCCAGCCTTGGTGAACCTACACCAGAGCTGGGACGTGGATTTTGTGAACGCTGTTCAGATGCAGAACAACATCAACCAGCAGGCCATACACGATACACAGGCCTTCTACAGGAGGTTCAAGTCAGTTCTGTCACAGTCTTCCTTACCTGTTTACCTGTGTGTTTGTTTGTTGTGTGCATGTGCTGGGGCATGTACATGTACTTAGGACAAGCTCCCAAACTAGTTAGGCTTAAATGCACTTCTGGCCTCTCAGCCTGCCAAATTTTTTTGTGACAAAAACTAAGTCCTTTGTGGAGGTTTAACATCTCTAATTTCTTGGTAATTTTTTTAGAATGCTAGGAGTAAGTTTGAGTATTATATGTCTGAACTTAATTATAATTGCTCTCATTTCTGTTGCAGAGGATTCCACCTCGACAAGTCGAAGCTCCCTGGTAACCCCAGTGCTAAGGTTGTCATGATGGACAAGGTACACTGTGATCACTTATTTGGGTTGGTTTGTTAACTGTAGAAAATAAGGCATAAACTAATAAAGTACACAGAAATGCATAGAAGCTTGGAAACCCCTGAGTGGTCTTCTTGGGCTGTTTTGACTGTATCCATCCTCTTCTTGGTGCTGAATGGCTATCATGCTGCAAAACATAACTTGGGTCTCAGATTTGGCGTTCTTTGATTTTATCGGTCCCCTGAGTGGTACCTGTATAGCTGGTATAACCACCCTTCAGCATAGTACACCAGCTTCTATATCTGTATAGCCGGTATAACCGCCTTTCGGTGTAACATACCAGCTTCACTGGCACGCGGCGCGGCGGCAGCTGGCTACATTACACTGAACGACTTGTTACACCTAGCCCTTGAACATCTATCTCTAAACATTGTTTAAAGTAAATTGTTTAATGATAATGCCCCTACTGTACTTGGTAACAGCGAGTTCCACTCTGCGATAGTTCTAGGAAAGAATGAATTCTTGAACACCCCAATCCTTGGTTGATAACTCTGGTACTTGAAGGCATGACTATGTATACATTGTATTGATCCCTTCCAGCTTCTTCGCCCCCTGAACTCCTCTGATGAACTCCTGCGGCAGTTGGACACTCTGGTGATGCAGGGGAAGAAGAAGCAAGGCTTCGGGATCGACCACGGGCTGGGTGTGGGGCTGGTCTCGATCACCGCAGAGTTCTGCTTCAGTGTGGGGGCATGCAGGCTGCTCATGTGCAATACTGGCATCCACAGGTAGGTGGCACTAGACTACAGTCCTGTTACGTCCTGTAGGCTGTTAATGTGCAATACCGGCATCCACAGGTAGGTGGCACTAGACTACAGTCCTGTAAGGTGATCAACCACGGGCTGGGTGTGGGGCTGGTCTCCATCACCGCAGAGTTCTGCTTCAGTGTGGGGGCATGCAGGCTCCTCATGTGCAATACCGGCATCCACAGGTAGGTGGCATTAGACTACAGTCCTGTAAGGGATCGACCACGGGCTAAAGTGTGGGGCTGGTCTCCATCACAGCCGAGTTCTGCTTCAGTGTGGGGGCATGCAGGCTTCTCATGTGCAATACCGGCATCCACAGGTAGGTGGCACTATATCTGTATCTGTATCTGTATAGCCGGTATAACTGCCTTTCGGCGTAACACACCAGCCTCGCAGGCACGCGGCGCGGCGGCAGCTGGCTACATTACACCGATCGACTTGTTACACCTACCCCTTGAACTTCTAGCTCTAGACATTGTTTAAAGCTATCTATTGAAAGTGCCCCTACTGTACTTGGTGACAGTGAGTTCCACTCTGCGATAGTTCTAGGAAAGAATGAATTCTTGAACACCTCAATCCTTGGTTGATAATTCTGGTACTTGAATGCGTGGCTATTTCTTGTTCTCTCCTGTAGTATAGTCTGACTGGACTATACTACAGTCCTGTCAGGTATTCAGAACATACTGGAATACTGTAAGTCACATTATATATTTGCACTACTTTTACATTCACGGTCACCTCTGTACCGCAAATTTATCATTACCAGGAACAAATCATTTGCCAACTTTCTTCTGCACCTGCCACCACCGCGAAAATATGCTTTTGCGAACATGTCCCAGAGTGTGAAATTTTGCAATGGCAAATATAGAATGATGTACAGTGTCGTCATTTAGAAATTCTTTCAATTCTTTGTAATTGTTTGTCTAAGAAATTTCATAGCTTGGAAATATTTTGAATATCTTTTCAACATCCTAAATAATTCCCTGGTTTTGTAAAACTTTTGAAATATTCCTGATGTGGAATATGACATTTCCAATAGTTTCTAAATTTTTCTAATAGCATTCTACCATTTTTTTTACGAAAGGGTTGGCAACATAAAATTTTCTTGACTGACATTTTGCCTTTTTACAGAACCTCGTGTGCGGCCACCTTGGAGCAGAGCATCATCCTGACCCGTTGCCACGGGTTACCGTCCCGTTACCTAGCAACGGCCGCCCACATCATCAAGAACCAAGGGGTCAGAGTTCAGAACGAAGCTAAGAACCCTAGGATAGAGGACAACACACCTGCAGGGATCCCCAGGTAGCTGAGGGACATTTTCGCTTCTAAGTGTTTATTTTATTTTGTTTACCTTCGCAGAGGCATTTTTTACTGTTTCTGTTTTTTACTGTAACACAGTTTCTTCTTCCTCTTCTTCTCCAAACAAATAAGGTCAATGATCTGAACCAGGCATCTGTCACCATGGTAACTAGTGTTGGGTTACATCATTTTTTTTTTACTTAGTAGGCCACTTCAAGGTGAACGGTGCGACCACCTGAATGGTAATAATTGACCACTCACCTGGGTTACGGGTTACCGAGTAGAACTGTAACAGCAACTCTTCTCCCTGAGTCAGAAACATCATGATTGAGACCAGCCCAATTTCTCACAAGTAGTGAGGACTAACTGACCCAATAGGAGAAGCAGGGGTTACGACCCCATTTTAGACCATAATGGTTTGTTCCACTTCTGCTCGCGTGGGTTCTTTAACGTGCTTGAGGTGTGTCTCTCCTCAAACATGGGACCTCTATTTTAATGTCCCATCTGATAAGATGCCCCTAACCAAAGCTAGGTACTCATTTTCACCTGAGTGAAGTGAGGAAAATCGTGTAAAGTACCTTTCCCAAGGGTACAACGACGGGGCGCATGGACTTGTTCGGGTACGACCCGGAATCGAACCCGGGTCTCCCTGTTTCATAGTCCAGTCTACCACTACACCACACGATGCCACAATTGTTGCCATTTTAATTCACGTAAGTCCTTTTCTTCCCCAGGCTGTACAGTCTGTGCCAAGACAGCGGCAGTCCAGAGGCAGAGGCCAGGAAGCCGACATGACTATCACGTGCTGACAGTGTAGCATCATCATCATCAACATCAGGCAACCACTGTATACTGTCATGACATGCCTGAAACTGGGTGGTACATGTACACTACAAAGTATCTGATTCCTTCAGTAGTTGTTGTACAACTGAAGGTACATCAGTTCTTATATTAAGCCCACATGACTATCACGTGCTGAAAGTGTAGCATCATCATCATCAACATCATCAGTCAACCACTGTGTACTGTCATGATATACCTGACACTGGGTGGTGGACTAGAGGATATTTTATGACAATCAATGTATGATATTTCTACATGTACAAAGCCACCCAGGGGACTGTGGCCTTCCTGAACAGGAGGTGGTCTTCTTGAGCAGGGGGCTCAATACTTCACAGTGCCTATGGAAAGAAATTAAGGACTGGGGAAAGGTGGCTGCTTGTCAAGCTTGACTTTTTGGAAGTGAATATAATATGATATAAGGGTTTTCTTCTACACAACCAAATATTCGTACCTTGCTGACGTTTCCTCAGAGCTTATGACTTGCTGACGTTTCAGTGTCTATCAGACACCTTCCTCAGAGCTTATGACTTGCTGACGTTTCAGTGTCTATCAGACACCTTCCTCAGAGCTTATGACTAGAGTTCTGCTTCTCGCCGCTATATGTAGCCGATGTAGGTGGTTGTGTAGAAGAAAACCCTTATATCCAATACTTTACTGGCCTGATGAAACTATTTTTGGATGAATATATGATGCCTGCACTTTTGTGCTAAATGGGTGATATGGTACCCCTGAGGGTGAGTGGTACAATCCAGAATTTGAACACTGCAATAATGTATAGATTACAGGGCAGTGCAACTATATAGTTCTTTGAACTTCTTTCTTCTGTCAACTTGAAGTTTTAACTTTTACGACAATCAAATACAAATGTAGAGTGTATATTTATATTCACAATGACAATTATATTAAAATCTTTCAATATTTTTAAAATGTGATAGCTGTGGTGAAAGAGCAACATGATCTAAAACCACAGAAGAGAAAAATACAGATACTGGTTATATTTGAAGTGAAATGTGCCTATATTTTCAATGACAGGGTAGAGACTGTGGCCATTACAATTTTTATATGTTGTAACAAGTGATGACAAAACTGGTGCTGGTAACATTGTAACAAAACACAAAATTGGTGCAATGGTTAACCTTCTTTCTAAACTAAGAATAAGTGTAGGGTGTAGATGAAGTACTTCATGGTCTTTTAAGACCGACAAATGCCTACTATACTGCCTAACCCAGTAACCAACACAAATTTGGTGGCAAATGGCTGCCTTAGCAGGCTGCAGTTTAACTGTACATTATATATGTATTGTTCAACTCCCAAGCAATTAGATGTTCCTAAGTCTTATTTACAATGTTTCATTTATTTATTTGTTTAAAAGTTACCACATTTGTGGAAAGATTGACATAATTAGTGACTATTACCTTTTCAAGATGTTGTGATCATGCATTTTGTTTTTAAAGACATTCCTAGCATGACTTTAATGGTGATTATTGACTGTCAGTGTTACAGGCCATAGGGAATATATCTCTGTGCAATAATTTATACTGTCAAGACATTGTCAGTGTTGCAATGTAAAACATCAGATCTGTTGACAATGATACATTGATCTGCTTTCAATTTTAAAGTTTTTACAATCTTCCTTACATTTCATATACATTGATCATCATTGATTTTCTTAATTTAAAAGAAATTAGAATTGTGTTATGGTTGACGATGGTAGGACATGGGTAATGTATGATGAGAAAATACATTTTAGCTCTACTGTTAACGTTAGGCCACACCGACTTAATTTTATGGATGACATCCTCTGAAGACCCCCAAACTAGTGCGCGCGGGCGAAGAAAAGAAAATTCCGGCCAAAAATAAAAATGGCATTAAACCACAGGAATACAAAGCCGGTATTGTGAATCTACGGCAGTGCACAGCGACGTATATAACAAGCCGGCACGCGCTGGCTTTTTGCGGAGTTTATGAATTGTTATAATGTACTAAGTTCATGAGTGGTGGACCTTTGGTAGCCTGGGTGCCGTCCTCTAGAGTTACCACTGGCTCCGTATTGTCCAGAGCCTCGAAGGACGTGATCTTTTTTTTTTTAAGGCCACACCAATTTAATTTGTTGGTTCTCGGATTTGCCTCTTCGTTTTTTTCTGATTTGCAAAAAAAAAAAAATTGATTCTGGTCCTGAATCAACTGAAAAATGCTCATGTTTTGCCCCCCAACAGTTGAGGAAAGTCCTTTTCTTCCTAGTTGTTACAGTTTTCCCATCTATCATTGCAGTGGTTTGATTAAAAGTTCAAAATTCAATGTTTAAATTTTAACCCAGCCTTTTGTGTTGACTTCATGGCTCATTTTGTAGCATTTAAGCCTATAATAGGATGCCTTACACCAGAAGGACTTGTGAAGGACTACTGCTACTACTACTGCTGCCAGTCAGTCTATATATACCAGGTGCTATATATAGCCATGTGCACATGGGCCTGGAATGTCCTAGCAGGAAGGCAAGGAATGTACAATTCATGTTACATAATCTTTTTATTTGTATGAGAGTCGTGGAATTTTAATGTTTTACTGACAGTAAAATATGTACGGAGCTCCACAATGTATTTTGTGCAATTTTGATACAGAAAAGACACCCCTGCGACGTGATAGAATATCCCTGCACCTAACGCCCCCCTGCGATATAATAGAATATCCCTAACGCCCGACCTAACGCCCCCCTGCGATATAATGGAATAGCCCCCCTGCGATATAATGCCATACCCCCTGCGATATAATGGAATATACCATCAGGAAGTAATTTGAAGCATACCCATAACCCAATCTAGCGCGGTACAAAATTTGTGGTCACAAAAAATTCTCGGAAGAAAAGAGACCCCACCTGACCTTTCCAAGAAAGACTTAAGCAAGGGGGAAAAGATTTAATTAGGCCAAAGTGTTAGCCGCCATAGCATGCCAAAAACTGGGGTCTTCGGGAGCCTTTATGTGCTATTTTCTGATTGCATATAGACAACATAGCCGGCCTGGTTGAATTACCCCCGTTTTTAGAACTGGGCTAATTAGAAAACAGCCGAAGACCACCAAACCCCCAGTTCTATAAGCCTGCTACGGAGGCTAATCAGAAAACAGCCGAAGACCACCAAACCCCCAGTTCTATAAGCCTGCTACGGAGGCTACCTGTGTGCCCGACATTGTACCTGTGCAGTACGCGTGACGTACACGTGTCAACATCGCCACCCTTACATACGTTATATTTATTCTGGTGACATTTCCTGGTCGGAGTTTCCGACTTCTAGATCTCTAACGATATGCAGGTAGCAACTTCGGTTCCTGTATAGCACCCCTTTGTCTACTAGTGGGAGATTTTTTAGCGAACATGTTGAGCAAATCGCGCATTTAGCAGGTGCCTTGGGGTCCTACCCGGCAAAGATTTACCCCTATGACCCAAATACAACAGGTGTTTACACTCACAGCGACCCCTTGCGATATTATGTTGAACTGCAGCTCGACATATTTCCGACCGCGGAGGGAATTTTTACTCTCGTTCTCTTCCGAGAAAAACGGGTGTCTCTAAAATTGTGAAAGTGACGTAACCCCTAACTCCCGTGCGCTTTTTAGACACACCCAAATATAAGTAGTACACATTCAATGCAGCATGTCACATGCTTGCAACAAGAGGAGGAAATTAGTCACACAATATTCAAGGAAAGTTTCCGCCACACGAATTGGTTGTAACAAGATTCGCCGGCAGGAATGAGGATTCATGCGAAGAACGACATGCTTGCCACATTGGAGTTGCTACAGAAGAATCGAAGCTGCGCCTCTTTGCTACAAACAGGTGCGCCCGACGCGAACTGAACTTCCTTTCCGGATGTGTGAACCCTGTGCGCCCTGCAGGTATATATGGATGGATTGTTACCGCTGTGTTGCTGCTTAAAACTCGACTTGCGGGAAACGCGTAGCCTCTACCAGGCTTCGGAGGAGTCTGAAAAGGGTAAAAACGTATCCAGCACCAATCTAGAAAGTTGAAGACGTTCATTGGAATCTACCAGGCTTCAAAAAGGACTGGAAATAGTAGAAATTGTCCAAATAGACAGATAACATGCCGGGAGAGTTGGTCCGCGGAAGGAGTACATTTGGAGCGGCAACGTGTACTCCTTTCAATAGCGGACCGACTCCCCTGGCATGTTTTCTGTCTATCTGACCAATTTCTTCTCTTTCAGCCGCTTCTGAAGCCTGGTAGAGGCTAGGAAACTTTCGAGACTGGTGCTAGCAGCGTTTCTACTCTTTCAGCCGCCTCTGAAGCCTGGTAGAGGCTAGGAAGCGCCTCCAAATTTCGCGAAGGGTACCAAATCAAATACGTTTCTATATATGGACTCTCCAAGTGTACAACAGGCCAGGATGTGACTGTACTTCTACTTGGAACCTTGATGCGTATCCACGGGCATTCTTTGATAAGCGTGCGACGACTTCAACACTAAAACATTGTGATGCGATCTAAAACGTTTCCACTGGATTTCGAAATAACTTTTTACGGATATTCAGAACGCTGCAACGCATTGGAATGATTGGATTATCATCCGCGTGGAGGAATCCTCATTTAAAGGTAAGCTTTTTTTAATAATCCAACATGTAATCACAAGATGTGTTGATGGCACACTCAACTTATATTAATGTCGCCACCAACAAGGGACAATACAATACTCATTTTTCACCTAAGCGATGTGAGGAAAGTCGTGTAAATTGCCTTTCCCAAGGGCACAAGATCGGTGGCATGTCGGGACTCGAACCCGGGACCTCTTGGTTCCGAGTCGAGCACTCTGCCGCAACCCCACACGGCCCCACATAAGCTTTTGTTTCTTTGATTTTGACTTTCTTTTTCTTGAAAATTCTTGCCTCAATTAAAAGCCCCGCCACAACCTCTAAACAATAATGGAATTTACCCACAATGCGTCATTACAACAGGTGGGAAATTTGTGTATAATACGTGATCGCAATGTTCTCAGAATTACAGGCAAAAATTTGCCGCTTTATTTCGTAAAAAAGGAGTTGTATTTAAGCGTAAAATGTTACTTTTCGGATTTGTGCCATTTCGCGTTTCTAATTTCCCGTCATCCCTACTTAAAGGAAGTGACGTCAACAAATAAAGACTAAAGTACGCAAAGAAAAAACATGGCCAACGCCTGTTGTTGGACAAACCATTGAAAACGCCTTGAACAAACACATTTGCAAATATGTCATTTGTGACTGAATATAAATGAAATGAAATACCTTTATTGTACATTCATGCCACGACGGGCTAAGTACAGGTCAAGACTTAACAGACACATAACAAACATATGTAGAGAAGTGGAGACAAAAGATACACTACTCGACTTAGACATACATACACAAGGAACATACAAGGATATTATACTAGGCTAATACAAAGTGTTCTAGTTACTGAGCTAATACAGAGTGGTCAACTTCTTCTCGCTTTTTTGTACAATGGAAAATGTGGGAACAGATCATGTTTGTGATACAGGGTTTGTCTAGACGCATCAAAAATATAAATATAACAGTTGAAGCTGGGTGTTGGTCCCCAAATATATGCTGCTTGTGTATACGTATAAATGCCTATTTAAACTAAAATATGAATAATGCTGTCGTCAAAAGAAAAAAAAACTTATTCGGGACGATGTTCAATTTTTCACTCTTCTTTCTTGGACAATTTTCCATCAGAACTGGAACACGAATGTAAAAGGTGTTAGTTCGCCATCCAGGTGTTGTATTTTGACTGAAACTACATGTGTATATGCAAGACTGTGCATGAACTATCTTTAGTAGCCATGAGTTTTCTTGACAGAATGTGACATTTGCAGTTATGCCTGATGAGCTGATATGCTGCTTGTTTATAAATGCCTTCAAGATTCTGAGATACACATATTTAGAGATGGTCTGGTCATGTAACGTTACTTGGTCAATGTTAGGATACATAAATTTAAACTAAAAGACTCTATAAAATATAAATAATGTTGTCGTCATACAGAAAAAAAAACTTATTTGGGACGATGTTCAATTTTCCACTCTTCTTTCTTTGACAATTTTCTACCAGAACTGAAACACGAATGTAAAAGATATTAGTTCGCCATCCAGGTGTTGTATTTTGACTGTACTTATATGCAAGAGTGTGCATAAACTCTTTTTTTTAGTAGCCATGAGTTTTCTTGACAGAATGTGACATTTGCTGTTATGCCTGATGAGCTGATATGCTGCTTGTGTATAAATGCATTTAAGATTCGGAGATTCACATATATAGAGATGGTCTGGTCATGTAACGTTACTTGGTCAATGTTAGGATACATAAATTTACACTAAAAGACTCTAAAATATAAACAATGCTGTCGTCATGCAGAAAAAAATTATTTGGGGCGATGTTCAATTTTTCACTCTTCTTTCTTTGACAATTTTCTACCAGAACTGAAACACGAATGTAAAAGGCATTAGTTCGCTATCCCGAGGTGTTGTATTTTGACTGAAACTACATGTGTATATGCAAGACTGTGCATGAACTATTTTTTAGTCGCCAGTTTCCTTGACAGAATGTGACATTTGCAGTTATGCCTCGTGAGAGAAAGGGGTTTCCCCTCAACTATTTAATCGGTCATACAGTAAACACTGGGATCTTTTTTCCTAGAAAATAGACTGCCAAGCTTGATATTACCAAGTAAAACTAACAACAGGGGAAGCACCGAACTGCAATGTACAGTCAAACCTGCCAGATTAAATAGGGTCTATGTGGAAAATGAAATACATTTTGTTGGCGACTGTCCTCACTATGAGACCGAAAGAAACAGATTATTTCAGACAGTTACAACAATCTCTCCATCATTTCGTCACTTAGAAGATCACCAAAAGACTACGTTTCTACTAAGATCACAAAACCCACTAATTATGCAGAATGTGGGACTATTCATTATCCACTGCCTTCAAAGAAGAAGTCGAACCCCATAAGTAGTAGTAGAAGTAGAAGTTTTTCCAGACAGATTGTTACCTTTCTCCTGTTACTGTATTGCAATGAGTATTATACTTGATTGTACAAGCAATTAGCCTTCGGGCATGATTTTGCAAATAAAGTTTCATTATATGTGGACAGGTGGTAACTATACTATCGAGAGGGTTCTTAATGCTTAAGCTTGTGTCAATGGGAAAATTATCTAAAGGGCCACCAAAAGTAGTCATAATTACCAGATAGTACTTTAATATGTAGAGGTTTTCACTTGTGCAGGTTTGACTGTGCAGGTTTGCCCTCTGATGGAACTTTGGAAGGCATTCGTGGAAAGAACTGAAATGAAATAAAAGAATTGAATTGAAAAATGAAAGAATTTGCCAACCTACATATATAAAAATGATAGCGGCAATGACAATTTTTGTTGTTGTTACTTCTAGATTTCTTTTTGTGTTGCCCTATTCTTTTTTCCAATCTAGAAGTTTGTACATTTTTTTATATTTACTGTGCCTTTCCAGCGGGTTTCCGTATTATCTTTGTCAGTATTCTACTACAGCTATGAGATGTAACAAATCATGTTAATTTGATTAAAACAGTAAAATACTTAACGGATTCTTAACTAGTAAAAACACTGTTACGAGAACAGAAATGAAGAAGTGACGAGCACACAATCTGACGATATCTTTTTTTTTAATCGGGCGAATTTTGTTTCACTCCAAAATACCAGAACAGATACTGTTATGTACACTGTAGTCAAGATACATTAAAAGTGGTGAAAACTGAATACGACACACTTTTTATACAATATTAGTCCAATGACAACCATACTAAGGTGTATACCGAATCTAAGTTCTATTTCTTTATGTTTTCGAACATAAATACCAAGAGAATTCTTGCTATGGATGTATAAATACACATTTCAATACTATCAACTTTACAGTGTGTGATTTTACTCCTAGAGAACTTAACTGAAAAGTCGCCACCAGAATGATAACACTGGTTAAAAAAATTAGCCAACTAAATGAAGGGTTAATAGACTTCCAGATGTACCAAGATGTACCAAGAAAGACTAACAGTTACTCAGGCAACTGGACAGGTTTTGAAAACTAAAACGGTCAGACGCTTCAGGTAGCGTCCGATACTATTCGTCAGGGACTGAAAGATATGTGTAGTCAACAGGCATTTTACTTTTCTAGGTATGACTAGGATTTGTAAATGAACTGTACAATCCCGACTTGTCCAGTTTGTTTCTCAAAGTCTTTCGAGACTGACTGATAGAGAGAGGGAGAGAGAGAGAGAGTTAGAGAGAGAGACAGACAGACTAGGGGAGTCTTGCGCCCTCCTGCATATAAAAATTTAGACAAAGGGCTGTCCTTTGCCTTCCAAAATGTATGTTATCTTGTCGCTCCTGCAGAAGAAAGATGTTTTTTTTACTTTATTTGTTTATTCCTTTCACCCCAACTACTTTGCATCTGCAACGTTCTCAAATGTTTGATTGTCTTGTAACTTGTTTTCTTCTGTTTCTACTGTACAACTGTTGGCATGTACAAAATGTACAGCTGTGTAAATAGAGTCCGTCTTCACTTGGTCCAGTTCATCAATGTACTTTATGTTTTACGAGTAAAACAAGGGGGATATTCAACCTTATAAATAACCTTTTCTTTTGTGCTGTACGAGTGGTGGGGTGTACTATATAGGCTATAACTTGAGTCTGATTATGGAGAATACCGCGGATTAACACACGTACAGCCGACCGCAACGTTCACCCACTCGTTCCTGTATCTGTATCCTCGTCCGGACTTCTTCTTTTTCCTCCTGGACACCAGCTTCTGTATCGTCACAGGAACGCAGACGTAGTTGTAGTTTTGTCGGTTGGTTGTCGTGTCCAGACACGCGATGCATCGGCACCTGGCCTGGAGAATGTCGTAGGGGAATCGGTCGGGGTCGTGGTCTACGTAGTACGACCACGGGCAGACCGATCTCACGTTCAAGGGCAAGTTGGGAGAATTCGTGGTTCGGTTTTCGGGGCAACTGTCAAGCGGCACTTTTGGGGACACATTCTCTTTGTGGCTGTTGTTGACGGTTCCGAAAACGGCCTGTTTACTAACGGTAGATTTGTTGTGTGAAGGTGGGCTTGTTACAGGTGTTACAACAGCCTCTTCTTTATTAGATAGCGTTTTCGTCAGATGAGGTTTTATCTGTCTCAGTTCGCCTTTTCTCCCTTTGCTTTTGGATGCATTGTGCCTACGCCTCTTTCTTCCTCGCCCACGGAAACATTGCCTTCTTCTCTTCCTTGCTATCAAGCGTCTGGAATGTCTTCTCGAAGAGTTGACAGTTTGGGTTGAGTTGTAGCTGTCAACACCGTTTTGAGATGTTATGTTGGTATTTCTGAAATAAGAGATTTTGCCGTCTTCTTCAAATTTCTCTCCTTTCAAATGATCAATGCTTTGTAGGCTGGCGTTAGCTGTATCCATCTGTTGTGTCTGCTTAGCGTCTTTCCGAAAAGCACACTTGCGTCGGTTTGATCTTGAACCCTGCCTGGTGGTCCTTATTGAAGAGCCCGTCCTCTTCCTATGACGACCTTTTCGAGTTCTTTCCGCCAAATTTCTGCTATCTGTCCTCTTTCTGTCTTTCCTCTTGTCCCTATCCGTCTCTGGCCTTCTGTCTTTTTCCTTGTCTTTCTCTGCCGTCTTCCTTCTTTCCTTCTTGACTTTCTCTGTCTTCCCTTCGTCTTTCTCCGTTTCTCTTCTTTCTTTCTCGTTGTCTTGCTCTGTCTTTCTCCTGTGTTTCTCGTCGTCTCTAGTCGTCTTTCTTCTATCTTTCTCTTCGCCTTTCTTCGTCGTCCTTTTGCCTTTCTCTGTCTTCCTTCTTTTCTTCTCGTTGTCTTTCTCTGTCTCCCTTCTATCTTCTTCGATGTCTTCCTCTGCCGTTAGCTTCCTTCTGCCTCTCTTTTCGTCTTTCCTCATTTTCCCAGATTGTGTTGTCTTCCCCTCTTCCTCAGTAGCGTTGGACTGTGGCGCTCCAAGACGGAAGCCTGGTGGGTGGTCGCCCTGTTGCTTTCTTGCTCTTGTGAGCTTATGTCCTCGCCTGAAAATGGAGAGAACATGTCTTTCTGCTCCCTCCCATGTGTCGATAAACCCTTCGACTTCGCCCAACACGGCTATATCACTCGGTGTGACAGATATCTCAGTGGAATGAGTATTATAGTGGTCACGGTCAGAGTGGGTTCGCTTTGCTTTTTCTTTATTCTGGGTGCCATGTCTTCCTCTTTCAGTTGTACAATTTCTCTCCGCGCCGCACCGACTTTCAAAATGTTGTGTTTCTTCGTTGTTATACTGAAAATCTGGCTTAATCTTAATATCTAAGTTGCTTTCTGTGTCGATGTGGATTTTCCTTTCTTCGCCATATCTAGTCTCAACCGTTGACATGTCCAGTTTCCCGACATGGTGTGTGGACATTCGTTCGCTGCCTTTGCCACCACTTCTGTCTGAGTCGTTCGGAATGGTCGTAGGGTTCATTTTCAAAGTGTTCCTTGTCACGACCTGATCGCTTGTGAGTTCCATGATCCGTGGTGCAGAGTTATTTCTGTCAAAAGTTTCCCTGTGTTTTGTTTTCCGCCTAGAGAAGGGGTTTGTGGTGGGTAACTCCCTTGCTAGTCCGACATTGTAATCATGACCAGATCTATGTCCTTTCGTGTGGATAGTGGGAGAAGTTAGCTCTTTCCCTGAGTTATTTTCTGCTACAGACACTCGTGGTTCACCCTTCTTGAGCCCTTTATCATTTGTGAGACTTCTCAATTTCTTCGCGAGATTTTGTTTTATTAAGACTTTTCTGTGGGTTTCTTCATCATTATTACCAGGGGGAGGGGCGATGGAAAAAATGGCGGCCATGTTGGTCACCTGTTCGGTTTTTGAGCTCAGTTTGAACCTTGGTTTGATAGACGCTGTGCTTGAGGATGGTTGGTTTCTAAAGGGATTTCTGCTTGTACCAGGCTTCTTTGGTGTGTTTAGGCCCAATTTTTCCAAGAATCCGTTGGCATCGTTTAATTCGGTAGCTTTGCGCGCGTTTTCAAGAAGATTGGCGTCGCCTGTGACCGCCTCTGACCTCGTTTTAATAGCGTTCTTTCTTTGGACATGACTAAGCCACGGTCTGTTGTTGTCAGCCATGTTCCCAGAAGAAAAATCCCCCTCGTTTTCCCTGAGGGGCGCTTCTGAGAAAGTTTGCAAGCTTCCTGGGTCTGTACTTACGAACAGCACTGCCGATATGCCAAGGAGACACACCAGGGACCCCAACACCTGCGGAAAACATCAGGAATGAGTTACCATGTAACGTTACGTGGAAGAGATCTGGAATATACGCATCATGGCACGTGTGTATGTCTCGGTTTTTGCAAAGCGTTAACTTTATGTTCATGCAGGTTTCAAATTTTAAGTAACAATAACGGAAACTCTAATCTACATTTATGGCTGCTCATTTTACATGGGTTTTTGAGAACTTAAACTTAATTCAGAGATGTTTATACACGCTGCAAAATTGCTGCATCATTTTGAAGAAATACCCGCTTTTTCCAGAGGAAAATAAACTTCCAGAGTTTTCCCAGGGTATAGCTATCAGCAAGTTCCTCTTTTTGCTTTCACACCGAAGTACATTTAATTCTAGATGCTAGAACCGTATGCATTTGGGGTCGCGGTTAACGTTGCTTCAAAAAACTGCACCACGGGTGATTTTGCCTTGCTAGCCCTTCGAACATTACTATATAATTTACTCACCTTGGACTTCCTTAATACCTTCATGATGTCAGCAAGAAAGTTCGAGCGACACTTGAGAAGAGAAGGCAATCACTATTCATGAGAGAGGGGTGCTAGTGGGTCCTGTAGCAAGTGTTTAGACTTCTCGCGTCACGTCCATACTACTAGCATTACTGACTTTTAGCAGCGTCACGTGAGCGAGCTGCAATGACGTGGACACGTACGCTGCTGGGTCGGGGACAAAGGTACTGTGGCCCACAGGTACAAATGAGCAACACATTGACATTTTGTACTTTGGGTGCACTGCTGGGTCGGGGGACAAAGGTACTGTGGCCCACAGGTACAAATGAGCAACACATTGACATTTTGTACTTTGGTTGCGTCAACAACCCTACGGCACGTGGGCTCGTGTGGCGTCTGATTTCTAAACACAGTGTTTGTCTGCTACACACAGCCTTCTTGTCTGACATTTATAGAACTGGAATAAAAAGAAAATAGAAGAAGTGCGCTCGTTCTTTTTATTAAATTAAATTAAATTAAATTAAATTAAATTAAATTAAATTAAATTAAATTAAATTAAATTAAATTAAATTAAATTAAATTAAATTAAATTAAATTAAATTAAATTAAATTAAATTAAATCAAATCAAATCAAATCAAATTAAATTAAATTAAATTAAATTAAAAAATTAAATTAAAAAATTAAAATTAAATTAAATTAAATTATTCTACAACAGGTCAATGTATATATAATGCCTGCCAACTCCGTATTTGATATTCCGATGGCTCTCCGTGATACAAGATAAAGATAAGTTAAGTTAAATTAGATTAAATTAGATTTAGATTAATTAAATTAATACTTAATATTCCTTAAATTAAGTTAGATTGAGTTAAATGTAGATAAGTTAGATTGAGTTAAATTTAGATAAATTAAATTAAATT